TTTAATTGATATTTCTGAGACATGATAATTCTATTATTTAAGCCAAAGGAACATACAATTGAAGAGGTATGGGTAGCTTTTTAAAAAAATGTTTATTTATTTTTGAGAGAGAGACAGAATGCAAGTTGGGGGGCACAGGGCAGAGAGAGAGAGGGAGACACAGAATCAGAAGCAGGCTCCAGGCTCTGAGCTTTAGCACAGAGCCTGATGCAGGGCTTGAACCCACGAGTTACAAGATCATAACCTGAGCTATAGTCGGACACTTAACCGACTGAGCTATCCATTCAGGCACCTTGGCATGGGTTAACTTTGAGGATCCCTTCTTATCTCAGTTTAATTTGCTCCAGTAGTCTTCTCAGAACTTTCCTGGAGTGTTCTCACTTATTTCCTGAGAGGGAAAACAATTCCTAGAGGTAAATAGTGGATTGGTCCAAGAATATTATAGTGCTTAAGAGTACACACTTTGAAATTCTGTAAAATGGGGATTTTCATAGCTACTTCACAGGTTTATTATGTGGATCAAATAATTTAACATATTTTTTTAATGTTTTATTTATTTCTAGGAGAGAGAGAGAGAGAGACAGCATGAGCAGGGGAGGGTCAGAGAGAGAGGGAGACACAGAATCTGAAGCAGGCTCCAGGCTCTGAGCTAGCAGTCAGCACAGAGCCCAAACCCATGAACCGCGAGATCATGACCTAAGCGAAAGTCGGACGCTTAACCGACTAAGCCACCCAGGTGCCCCAAATTTAACATATTTTTAAATAGCCCAGCAGAGCTATCAAGCCACAAAAAGACGTGGAGGATACTTAAATGCGTATTGCTGAGTGAAAGAAACCCATCTAAAAAGGCTATATACTGTATTATTTCAACTATATGACATTTTTGAAAAGGCAAAGTTATTGCAGAAATAGTAAAAGGTTCAGTGGTTGCCAATGGAGTAGGAGAGGGAGGGAGGGAGAGAAGGGTGAAGAGATGGAGTATAGGGATTGTTTAGGGCAGGGAAACTATTCTGATACTATAAGGTTGACACGTGATACTATGCACCTGGCAAAGCTCAGAGTGCACAACACAAGTGTGAAACTTAACATAATCTGCGGACTGTAGTTAATAATAATGTATTGGTTTGTCAGTTGTAACAAATGTACCCCACCACTGCAAGATGTTCATTAGGCTGCATTAGTACCCCAAACTGAGGGGCTTAGAACCACAGAAACATTGTCTCACAGTTCTGGAAGCTAGCAGTCCAAAATGAAGGTGTCAGAAGAGCTTCCTCTGAAGACCCTGAAGGAAAGATCTGTTCAGTCTCTCTCTCCCAGCTCTGGTAGCCTTAGGTTATTCCTTGGCCTCCACCTTCTTACCGCTTTCTCCCTGTGACTCCACATTATCTTCTACTTGTGTGTGTCTGTTCCTATGTCCAGATTTCCCCTTTGTATGGGAGCACCAGCCATCTTAGATTAGGGCCCTCTCTAACAACCTCAGCTTGACTTGACTACAGATACAAAGGCGCTATTTCCAAATAAGGAGGTCACATTCTGAGGGGTCAGGTCTTCAATACGGTTTCTGCAGGATGAGTACACAACTCCGTACAAACGGAGAAGAAACTGGGCAGGGGTGGAAGAGAGGGAATATCTGGGAACTCTGTCCTTTCTATTCATTGTGTCTTTAAACTTGAAACTGCTCTGCAAAGATGACAGCCATTGATTTAAAAAAGAAACAGTAAGAGAAAAATAACCCAACACTTAGTACATAGTTGATAAATGTTAGGTACTTTTGGAAGCTGCATTAACTTATCCAGGGTCCCTGACACAATAGATTTTATTCTTGACGTGTTCCAAGACCAGTAGCAGCATTACCAGAAGATGCCAAGGACTTTCCACACCCTTCACTGTTCATTCTGTGCTGATTCGTGGGTAGGTAGGACTTAGCTTTCTCTGTGGCTTCTCCCCCTAATAACTGAGGAGCAGATTAGAAAGCTATCTACTCATATTGCACATATCTCCTGCCCTTCACTGGATTTCATGGTGTCATTATCAAAAAGGAAGGGCTACATGGTAACTAATTAGGAATCTGTAACACTGACTTATTACTTAATTATACCAGCATAGATATGCCATGTTTTGTGAAAATCTTGGATTTGGGAGCCCATATTGAAAAGACAGATGTGTCAGTAGGTGATGATTCACCTGCCTTTGTAAAGTGCTTTCCCCGTTCACACAGAAGTCATGTCAGAATTCTTTCCATAGCATGACCATGACCATCCCCCCGCCCCACAATACCAAAGTTGAGATTCTTCATAAAGCTTTCAAGAACGCATCTGTCACTTTCATAGGTACATACCTCCCTTAACCTACATTTCTTTTTCAGACTACCCTCCTTTTGGGACCCTGTAGAGCTCCATGGTTTCTAGAATCCTTTGCCTTGACATTTCATCACTTCACTGGTTGAGAGTTTGTTTCCTAACTGATGTTGCTGGAAAGGTTTCAGCATTGATTTGGGGGAGGGGAGGAAAGGAGAGATTAGGAGCTGGGAACATGAAAGCTGCTGCACCCCTTACAGTCCCACCCAGACGTGGCTCCCCATAATAGGACAGGGGCAGAGTTCAGAGGAGCCCTGTGGCACAAGAGTGTGACGACTGAGGAGGATTTCAGCCCCATCCTGGTGGGAGGCCACCTGAGGACCATTTCCATAAACATACACATCTTCCTTCCCCTGCGCAGCCTCATACACTCCCAGGAGAGGGTCCTGCCACACGGCACACAGATGTGCATTCTCCTCTCCCTCAGATACACTCTCCACAAACTCATTCAAATGAGTAAGTAAGTGGATAGATGGACTTTTCTGTGGTCGGGAAAGAAAAAAAGGGCCCAAGTAAGTAATAAAAGGTGAGGAGTAGGTGGAGAGAATGGGTAGCAGAAAAAGAATTTACGTGCAGAGAGAGCCAGGAAGAATGGTCAGCCAAAGCGACCGCATGCTCTCAGTCTGGTCCACTTGCCTGTGAATGTTCCAGACATCTTAGGCTCTGCCCACTGGGTGCCTCTGCAGCCTGCTTGGGGATATTTACATCGCTGCTTATTAGCACCTCCACCAGAGGTGTAGGCTAAGGAACTCAGCCCGCTGTTACTAAACACAGCCAGCATGACAGCGTAGCTTGGAGCTGAGGCTTTAGAGGATGCTTTTCAAGCTACTTGGATAAATTAAGGAAAGTGAAATTGTTTACTTACAGACATACTTCCTTCTCCCAGTTCTGTCTGCTGCTGCTGTAGTTATTTGCAAAGTGGTTCATACACAACAAAAGCCTGTACTGAAGAAAGAGATGAGAAGAGTTTACTGTCTCACTGCACTAGCATCTGGGTAACCAAAGTTTGATCCCACTGGCCACAGGGCTGTGCTCACTCCGCGTGTTCCTCAGAATAGGAGCCCACCTCCGAGTGGAAAAGCCCCAGATGACCTCTCAGTGGTGTTCAAATCACTTTTTTTTTCATTCTGATAACTATGGAAAGATCAAGCCAGAAAACGTACAGAAACTTGTGATTGATGAAAGAGTAAAGGAAAATGGATTTTTTTCTTCATAACTAGCAAAGTACTTAGAAAGTGCTTTTGGTAAGAGTAAGATAGAAAAACACCTTAAAAATTTTTAACTCCCAATAAACACCAAAATTGGAGTTTCTAAAAGATTTATATGCAGTATAAGTAATACCCTAAGGGATAAAAAGGGGGGAAATGCAAACATTGTGTAGTTTTGTTTTTGTTGGCAGAGACTTTATTTTTGTTTTTGTGTTTTTTAAGGGGGATATGCTTGAAAAAAAAAAAATCTGACAACTTATTTGAGGTTTCTGAACTTGGCTTCAAAATCTCAGTTTTGCTTCTTGGCCCCACAAACAAAGATGCCATTAGGTGATGGCTTTAGGCTTTGCACGGCTCCTTATTTTCCTACGCAGGGCAAACTGCTTGTCTCACATGCACAGAAAGGGCTGGAAAATATTTTTTGTGATCTGAGTGCAGCGGAGAGTCTAGGATTGCAGAGGAAGTGGAGGCCTCCCGCTCCACACAGGAAACAATCTTCAAGCAGGCCTTAAATGCCAGATTCCAGGCCGAGTTTAACTAACCACTGACAGCTCTGTAAACAAAGCAAAGACAAAAAGAGCCCGCTTCCCCTTTTCTGGTAGTCATTTTGGGTTTGGGGGCTGCAGGGGAATTCTGGAATCCTTGGCTTCATGGCACAGAAGTGCAAGGGAAGCGGGCTCCTCAGCTGAAGAGCTGGAAAGGGAAGATCTTTCTGGGACCCAAACCATCACAGAGGAGGTAGGAAAGGATAAAATGGTTGGGTTACAAAGAGCCGGGACTTTTGAGCTCTGAAAACACCTCAATCATATGTAACTGCTTTTAAAAATGTTGCTGACTTATGCTTATTCATGGTATTATTGCTGTGTGTTTTTTTTTAATCATCCTGATATTAATATTCTTTCAGAACATGCAAATTATGCCTTGATGCTTGTATTATTTTATTTCTTTTATCTCTTTTTTACTTTTATTTTTCTCTTGGTTCCTACATATTCCTTTTGGGGCCACTTTTCTTTTTTTCTCTTTTTCTCTCTCTTTGTTCACTCTTTCATAACTTTTGTCTGGGGCTCAGCAAGTTATAAACAACAAAATCATTCAGCAGCCGTGAAGTGATCCCACCAATATTTCAAATCTTCAAAATCCCTGTCTCCTGAGGTTTTTATTTTCATTTTTTTAAACTGTAATCCTGGGATCTTACTTATTTGTCTCTAATAGTTTCATGAATGAGACTGAATTTAGTGCATGAAAGACTCAGTTCAGGAGTCAGAAATTGGTCACAGGCTACCTTGCCAGCCTTCTAAGGTGTTTTTCTTAAGAGTGAAGAAGAAAGGAGAGTATGAAAAATGGTGGGGGGGGGGTGGCGGGCAAAGGCTAACATGTTTCATGGGAAATGATACTTTGATTCATCTTTGATATCGGCCTACCTCCTCTTTGTTAGGTCCAGATTCTCTGGTCTCCCTAGACCTGAAGCCACACCATGGATGATTTTGAACGTCGCAGAGAACTCAGGAGGCAAAAGCGGGAAGAGATGCGGCTCGAAGCAGAAAGGTAAGGATCTAGGTTGAACAGTACTTATATTCTGTTACTTACAATGCTGGTTTCAGGCTTTAAAGATTATCCCGCTGAAGAGCCAAATATACTGCACACTAAACCTTTTGCGAAAGTTGTGATGGAAAATTTTCCTGTTATGACTCTCAATTATGCATAAAAAAAATAACACCAACATCAAGGGAAAGAGATTCTAAGAGAATCAACTAGTCACATTATTCAGAGCCTTTCTTGGTGGAATTTTTAAATGACAAAGGCAATGTGTGGATAAAAGTTTTAAAAAGCAGTTATAATATTGAAAGGACAGGAAAAATGACAAATGCTGACAATTGCAACCAACTAGGAAATGGGGGCTTTAGACTTAAAAATACAAAGCTAAGTCCTAGGTGGATCTTGTTACAGATTTTTATTCTTATTAGAAAAGTAGCCAAATCCAGTAATCCATGTATTATAGGTTAATAGTGAATGGAGTTTGTTACTGTGGAGATTCTGAGTCTAGTTGGAAGCTGTCATGTTGTGTGAGGCCTTTGTCGTGGTGACTTTAAGGGCAGGTTGGGGCATAGGGAGCATGGGGCATAAATGGATATTGTAAAATTTTAGACTTCAGAGCAAAGGACAGTGGCATTTAATGTGGCTTAAATCAGATGGAGTAGGCATTGACAGGAAGAAAAGTGTTAAATGTTCTTACAGTTAAATCAATTTTGCCTTGCACAAATTCCAATGCAGAGATGAAAAGATGGTGATGAGGTGATCCCTTAGTGATCCTGCAGTAGAAGATGGGAAAGTTACACCTATAACAAAAGTACTGGGGGTCATAGGCTCTATGTATGCATGTGGAGAACACAAAAGAAGGTAAAATTACTGCTTTTGATCAACTTGGTCAGAGCAGGCTGTCATTCATGGAATGTCTGTGTCTATATATATGGCACCATGAATGGTACCTGGGCTCCGTGCATTCAATTCCCTGCTCTTAGCCACTAATGAGCTGTGTAGCCATGAGCAAGTGACTTCCCTCTAAGCCACAGTTGTCTTATTTGTAAAGTAGGTATAATGTCTGCAGAACTTGTGTGGTTGTTGTGGAGATTATTGAACTTCACAAATGGCCTACTTGGTACCTGGCACATAGCAGACTTCCATAAATGGTAGTTGTCATCGTTGTTTTTGTTTCTTAACCATGATCATTGGCTAAGCAAGTAAGAAACAGCAATGTGTAGCCAGATAGCCAGAACTAACCATCAATGCCAAGGAAAGGCAGTCATCATCCTGTGATGAAACTAGTCTGAAAAAGCTCCTTGGAAGTAGTAGTCCATGAAGGATGCTGTAATAGTATGGAGAGCAAATGGAGAGCCATCTTGGTGAGAGAATGACAACAGGAAAAGCCCAGAGGTGGAAATAAGAATCCTGGTGTAAGAGACATATTGATTGCTTAATGAGGAATGAGCTGGATGTGCACATCTTGGGTGTTCCTATTTCCCATGCAGGGCAATAAAGACTTATCAGGGGATGCTGTATATGAAGAGATACATTGGAGAAAGGGATCTACAATGCACTGGAGTGTGGGAAGAGTTAGTATTGAACATATGGTAATGAAGCCCTGAATTGGGGCAGCAAATATGGAAATGAGGATCAAATATGAAAGTCTTTATAGAGGGAAAATAAGCAGACCTTTCAGGAGTGGGAGAAACTCAAAGATAATTCCAAATAACTTAAGTCTGCAGAGCTGGGAATCTCCTGCAGTGTTCTAAGATGGGGAAACTTCTTTCATTCTTGGGTATACATGGTGGGGAGTGGGTATTTAATTTCAGGTAGAAACCACATCAAATGGAGATTCCCTCTAGGTATTTGGAGATAGAAATGTTCTGTCTTTCTTCAGAAAGGGAAAGAAATTATTATTAGAGAATAAGTTTGGGCACACTCAGTATAGAGCTGGTAATATAAAAGCTGAAGGTGGACGGCTGTGATAGTGTAAAGAAAGCAAGTGTAAGGTCATAAAGACATAATAGAAACCATCGGAGGAGACAAAAACTTCAGGGAAATGGGGAGAATGAGAGAGAGCATCCCTGTGAAGTGGACATCACAACCTTCCAGGCAGTGTCCAGGCCCAGTGGGATATACTTCCTCCTCTTTCTAGTGATGTGTTATATAGCCTCAGGTTCAACTGCAAGTCAATGAGATATCTTTATCTGACAAATATTTATTAAAACACCAGCCAAATTTAAGGGTCTGTGCTAGGGACAGGGCAAGCAACGGTGAGATACAAATAGACATAGCTTCTGCCTTTAAGTCCCTCACGTCATGCTAGGAAACAAAAAAAAAGTATAGCAAGGTCACAAAACAGACCAAGCCAGAGTATGGGGCTAGAGGAACTCAGGAATGAGGACAGTTAATTGAGCATCAGGCTAAATCAGTATCTGCAATGTCTTTGCTTTCCAGGTGAATAAGGAGATAGGGAATCAATGTGAAGGGAACAGAGCTACTGAATTGCTATGGCTAGAGCCATGCTGTAATTACAGTGAAAAAATTCTTTCTTTACAACCAGAATTTTGCTTAAGAACATTGACACAGCCTCCATGGTTCATTCCTTTCAGTTTTCTGTTTTGGGTGGAAGAATATGTCTTCCTTTAAAATAAATCATACTTGACATTAAATCATAAAGTACTCAGTGAAGCTTAGTTAGGTACCCTTAACACTGTACAATGAATTTACACAGATTTATCCTACTCTTTTAAATTTACATTTCTGTCAGTGTTACTTTTTTTAGAATATTATGTTCTATCTGATTTCCTTTTCTTCCTTTCTTTTCTTTCTTTTCTTTCTTTCTTTCTTTCTTTCTTTCTTTCTTTCTTTCTTTCTTTCTTTTTCTTTCTTTCTTTTTTTGAAAAGTACTCAAGGACCTCCTTACATTCAGACTGTTACCTTTTAATGTTTCAAGATGAACCTTCTAGTTCGGTTATTCTGGGGTGTGTTAAGTAAGTCCATGCTCACTCTTTAGGATTTTGTAAAATATGATCATTTATGGGAAAGGGAAGGTCAGGTTTTATGGTCCAGCCAACTTTGATGGTAAAATTCAGGGTGTGTACAGGAAACAGATGGCCAGAACCAGAAATCAAGCGCCATCTAAACCTGTGATTTTGATCTGAAGATAAAGGATATAGAAGACCCTGGGCAAATCCCTCTTCCTTTGTCTTTAGACGTTGGCTTCCTCATCTGTAGCTGGAGTCAGTGTTTTCTCTGGGGAATTAGTGGTTGTTTTTACTTTCCTTTGTCTTTGGAATTGTCTTAACATTTTTATAATAATCATATATTTATGTAAAACAATAAGACATTTTCCATTTTGGAAATGTAAATATGATTCTGTGGCCTTACCCATAAAACCTGGGGACAGACTGGAGAAGACCTAACTTTCCTTTGGATTTAGGGAACTAAAAGAAAAAACTCAATCCAAATCAGGAGTGCCGGTGAAGTAAATTAGCAAAAATAGAGTGGCCCCAAGGCTCAGAGCTACAGATTCATTCATTCACACCTTTAACAAATTTTAATTGGGCATCTACTCTGTTCCAAGCCCTATTTTGGGCCCTGAGGATAGACCAACAGAATGACAGAGTTGGGAAAAGTGTGTTTAATACTTTTCAACCTGTACAAAACCAAGTGATGATCAAGAAACTACATATTTATATCTTTAAGTATAATGTGTACACTGATATTCGCTGATACTTACTTACTGCATACCCCTGCAGCCAGTGTGGTGGAAGGGACAACAGAGAGAAGAGAAAGTTTTGTTGATATCCACTTCTTACACACAGAGGCTTTCCGAATAAAAAATACCCTGTTATTTCAATTCGTTGTTATTGAGCTTGACTAGCAGGTGCAGTTCTACTTTGCAGTGACAAATAACTTACAACTCGTACTCTCACCAGATGTTATAACCACAAATTAAAACAAGCCAGATTCTTCTACATTTCATTCATCAGAATAAATTTAAAAGATTATATTAAAAGCTAACCCTTGTGCCATGCTGGCTTTCAAGGGTTTGCGGACTGGCACGTACTCATTGTATCACAGCTGCCCCGAGACTGTCGTTTACCTCCCTCCCTCATTCTGCAGCTTCTAATAGAGTCCATTTCAAATCATCTGGCTTCTCATAACCATAACCTAGACTGTGACCCTAATTCATCAAAAACTTCTTTCCCTTCTTCTCCTGCCCTCAGCCTATGCATTTTTCTGTTATTCACCTTGTGCTTGTCCTTCATTTGGCTGTCACTCTTGAGTCCTTACGATGCAGTCTTTAGGTTTGGTAAAAGGAGATACTTCATTTGGTCATCAAAAAAATGTATCGACTGTCTATAAAGTGCAAGATACTATACTGAATCATAGGGCAGTCCTGGAAGTGCCCCAACAATCACAAAGCTCATGTCCCGGGTGGATTAGTAACTTGAGAGCAATCTTGACCAAAAAGGAGAGAACAAATTCCAATAGAATAAAATTGAGCAAGTAACCAGTGAAAATTCTAAATGCTTTGTTTCTAAGTGAAAGATACTACTTGTACACATCTCAAATTAAACTGTATTTTTAAGTCAGTTACCTATTTGAACAAATACTTCATTTTGCTCTTTATTATTCTTCACCTATATTATGAGAGTAAAATATTAGTGGGTCTATTCTACTTCGCTTTCTGTATCTTTTACTTCAGTATTTCTCTGCCTTTATCTATTTCTGAGAGCATCTTAATACATTTTCCCCTGGTCTAAATGTATCTTCATTAACACTTGATTCCTTTGTCTCCATTTCACCTCCCATCTGTGTACTAATCCATTTTACACTGGATTATTTATGCAGGTGCTTTTGTATCATCAGGGAATACATACATTTCATGGGAGAAAATGTAGGGGAAGAGGAAATATTTTCACAAGGGTCAAATCCTGTTCTCTTCCTATTCAAGTAGAAAGTAGAAGTAGAAAAATATGCTAGGCCTTTTACATGTATCTGGCAAAGATGTACTG